ATCTATCTATCTAAATATATCTGCTTAACCTTGAAAACATACCTATGATGACTACAAGTTTGATTATAAATGACTATTAACCTGTAGTTCTTAACTATACATTACATTAAGAGAGCTGCATAAGCACAATACCCCAAATAAGAGTAGAAACATATATAGTATAGTAAAAATAACTTAATATTTATATCAGTGAACCAGAATCTATACCAATGTAAAATATTTTGAGATTAATAGTTGTTAACAACTTGTAACCAACCCCTTTAATTAATAGCAAACATTCATAATCAATCTTTTGGAAATGTGGGTGTTGTTTTCTCTAAACTAATTCCTATTGTTTGGAGGTGCTGGTATCTTTGGGGGAATCTTGAGAAAATTTAGGCTAATGGTTAAGTCTACACTGGAATAGTCCGTGAGATTGAACCATCTCAGCTAGCATCCTTGAAACTATTCTGGATGCAGGATTAAGAAAACTGTAACAGAAGTGAGATACTGGATCACCTGGACCATTTGTTTTCAGCAGCATTTGGTTCCCTTGCTCTGAAAATACATAAACTTTTAAAAGTAACATAAATATATATCTGCATTAATAGAATACAGACTGTGTGTTGTACACAAGTTAGCCAAAGATAATTTTTTGTTTTATGTTTGAGCAGGTAAAATATACATCATATATTTTGTAGTTTTTGTAGGTGTATTTTTTTATGTCTGTAGCCAGGATTTTCAGGGGGTTTTCTTAGTTCACAGCTGATTCATATCAACCTGGAATGAATCTACAGTCTCTGATTTCCTGTGGAAATAAAAGCATATTCTCTTCCCCAACATAATACATTTTTTTGACTTAAATTTTGAGTAAGACATTTTTTAAATATATAGGTTGGTTTAATCCAGCAACCCCCACAATCCAATATGTTTTAGCAGCTGTTGCTCATTCATCAGTAATCAAAACATTAAGACAACACAATGACAGGATCCAGACTCCCTGTTTCTTTTCCATCTCTATGTGATTTATTTTTTTATTTTTTATTTAATTTTTCTCTTTAAAGATTTCATTATTTTTAAACTTGTTTTTTCTATGACTATTACCTTTCTCTTTTTTCTCCCAAGCCTTTGTATATTTTTAAACACACTGTAACTTGTTTGGAGGTCTTTTCTGTCTAGATCTGTCTTTACTGAGCATCTGTATTGTTCTCTGATCATATGAGATGAGTCTTAAACTGCTGTGTCAGCTATTAGTGCAGCTTGACTGGTGACTGACTCCTTCTGCCTAGGTTCCCTGAGAACTTAGCCTTATGGCAGAGGTACCAGGGAGCCACATTTACCGCTTCAACTCTGGGAAGTTTTGGGATCCATGCTCTGCACCACTCGCTGCTCATAAACCCCATTTAAGTGTTTGATGGCAGGGCCTTTGTTTGTTGCTAGCACTGAGCCTACCTGAGAGAAGGCAGTTACCAGGAAGTTGCATTTGACTCTGTTTTTGTGTTTTTGGAACTTTATGTTAAGCTTTCTCATGTTTTCCATGGATGTAGATACAGAGACATCTTGCTGCCTAAACAGTCTCCCAAAGTTCCATTGTAACTTCAGGCCATCGATCTTGAGCCTATAGGCCCATAATATTTGGCAGACTTTTCAGTGAAGCAGAAAATTTGAAGATCTGTTTTACCTTGTAATGACAAAGTTTATCTGTTGCTTTCTTCTGTGTCCTGTAGAATGTCTGGAAGTTTCTTTCATGAAACAGGAACCCTAAAGGACTATCCCACCTTGTTTTGGCAAGTTCTGTGGGTCTTGTATGTCCAGTCTATATAGCATACCATCAAACAGTCCAGGCAGGAGCAGTTTGTTGCCCAGATTTGCCTTGTCACATTGAAGGCAAATTCTATAACAAGTTTCTTTGATGCCCATCAACCTCTCTGAAGTATTGGTGCTGCCAGAAGCAGACATGTCTCACTGTTGAGAAAAGTCTAAGTTCTTAAAGCATTTTAAATGCCATAGTCTGTAGGTCTTTGAAGTGTTGAAGATTATCTAACTGAAATATTTCTCTATATATCTGGGGAACCTAACTAACATGACTAAAAGTTTGACTATGATAAATGACTGTTAATCTGTAATTTTTAATTGTACATTGCATTTTAAATGAGCTGTATAAACACAATACCTTAAACAAGAATAGAAATATATAAGAAAATTGACCTTAAATTTATATTTATAGACCAAAGTCCATACCAATGTAAAGTATTCATCTCTATATATCATATCCCCCCCCAAAGAGATTGACTGTGACCATTAACGATTTATGCCAAACCCCTTTTAATGAAAACAAACATGTATAAATGATTGCATTTTGAGAATTTGGGCATAGTTTTCTCCAAACTACTTCCTGCTGTTTGTTGGGCAAAGTATTTTTAGGGTTCACAGAGACCTTTTGGAGGGGTCTTGTTCCATCAAACCACATTAGTCTGGAAGGAATCCATAGGTTCTCATCTTCTGTGGAAACAAAAGCAGAACCTCTTTTCCAAAGCAATATTTCCTTAGATCCAAATTTTGAAGTCCCTCCCTCCTTCCCTCCCTCCCTCCCTTCCTCTCTCCCTTCTTTCCTCTTTCTCCCCCTTTCATTCATCAGTGATTGTCATAGGCGTTTAGGTGGTTCTCTATTTTTGAATGTTGTAACCAGTGCTTTTGCAAACATGAGAGTGTGATCCTTTGTCAACATTCTGACTGTACCTTTGGATATATACCCCAGCATATATATATATTCTCTTTTGAATTTTCTGAGGAACTTCTACACTGTTGTCCATAATGACTCTTTCAGCTCTTTTACATTCTTTCCTAAAGTAATGCAAATGTTCCACTGTTCCACCTCCTCACCAACATTTACTATCTTTTGTCGTTTTAAGAGCTAGTCTAATTGGAGTGGGTGATGTCTGTGTACTTTCCTGTGTTGCTGGAGCCATGCTAGACTAGACAGGTACTCTACCACAGTGCTGTGTCTCAGCCTCTCCTTGTGGTTTTGAGTTAAATTTCCCTGACGGGTGATGATGTTGACTTTTCTTTCCACACACCTTCAAATATCTGCTTTTGTGAACTATCTATTCAGATCTTTTACCCATTTTTAAACTGAGTAATTTTTAGTTTTGCAGTGTACTAGTTTGAATTTTGTATAAATGTTAAGTGCTGACTCTGTTTAGTGTTACTGTATATATTATTTTCCAGTTAATAGATTGTCTCTGTACTCTAAAGACTATTTCCTTTGCTGTATAAAGCTTTTTAGTTCTAGATAATCCTATTTGTCTAGTTTTGCTTTTATTGCCTATACTTTTGAAGTCTTATCCAACAAAACTCTTGTTCAGGCCAATAGCGTGAAGTGTTTGTCAGTTTTATACTTTACTCTCTTAGGCTGAAACTCTTGATTCTTAGTGACCTTACTGATATCAAATGCTTTACCAAAATTTTTTTAAATTTCAAAGCAACAGTACTGGCATTAATGTTTAAAACATTTTATATTCATGTTAAATATTTGCATCATTTCAAAGTCAGAAGTGTAAAATCAAAGTGTAAAAATAAAATCTAAATTTCTTCCAAAGGGTCTCTCATTTTCTCCCACTGGTGATCTCTTTTCTTTTTTCTCCTTTGGAGGTTAAAGTGGGACAGATGCATAAGCAGGGGCATGTCTGTGTGTTTATACACACATCCACGTTTATATTTCTCCCCCACATCCCTTATGCTTTCACATCTGGCTGTTTTTTCCACTTTACATGCATCCCGAGTATTTCACTTTAGAAATATACAATTTTTTTTTATTCCTTTATGTAACTTCCTGATACTTCATATTATGGTCACCGATCCTTCAGATCAGTCTTTGGGAGATGCTTGGGAAAATTATAAATTTAAAAAAGGTATTTTCATTTCTCTAGACCAACTTCATTGCTCAGAGGAACTGTTTGATACAGTTTTTAAAGCGCCATTGTATTTATATATCACTGCAAAAGTTCATTTTTCATAAATTATGTGTAATGTACTGGAGAAGTATTTGTTTTTAATAGGAAGATCATTTTTCTTATTACTAAACCACATTTTCTGTTCTTTACCTTATTACAAATGCCTCTGTCTCTAAAACTTGTCCTTGTCGTGGTGCCGTCCTTATTCCAGTGTAATAGGTCTCCAAAACATACCTTCTAATTGTAGTTTGCCACTGGAGAAGAGCTTGTAGCTAATGTACTTTCTGGTTCTGCTTTGAAGTGAGCAGCTCCTAAACTAGGCAGGTTATTGGCTTTATTAAATATGTATACATTGTGTTAATTATTCAGATGTAAAGAGTTTTGATAATGAATTGTGATTTCCTATTTATAAATCCTCCATGGTTTTACCCAGGTATTATGTGATCTAAATTATATACATATAGGCTTTTATCCACCATCTCTTTTGAGAACCCATGCTCCAACCTTAACCTCTACTAATTCTTTAGTATTCTGTAAATGTTTGTCCTGTAGAGAATACAAGGCAGCCTTAGCTTAGCAAATATTGTAAGTACTGCTGCTTCTTCCTGAGCACTTCAAAAGCCTTGGGATATATAATTCGATTTACTTCCTACTTATCACCCTCCTCCTAGCTTATATGCTATGAAGGCATAATTGTTATTGTTAATTTTTAATTCAATATCCATCTGCCATACTTACTATCAATGTGTTTGCATTGTCTCACTTGATTCATATAACAACTTTATAGGAATAGAAATTATCCTTACTGTAACAGATGCAAAGTGAGGGCATCACAGTTTATGAACTTTTAAGGTTCATGCACACCATAAGCAGTAGATTCAAAATTTAAAATCAGCCAGTGAGTCCAGAGCTTGTGTGATAACCAGTATAAAGTAATGACTGAGTGTTTTCTATTTCATTAATAAAGTTGTCACTAAATAACTGTAATGTTTCTGATCGTTAGACTAATATGCTCACCTTGACTGAGTGGTAACTAACTTCCTTTCATGCATTCTTTCATTCTTTTAGCTGATATAGCCCAGAGGTACAGGATAAACAAATACCCAACGCTCAAATTATTTCGCAATGGAATGATGATGAAGAGAGAATACAGGGGCCAGCGATCAGTGAAAGCGCTCGCAGACTACATCAGGCAACAGAAAAGTAATCCAGTTCACGAGATTCAAAGTATAGATGAAGTTACCACTCTTGATGTAAGTTAACTGACGGTGGATGAATGTGCATTGCCTGTGTAATAACACAAACAGACCATAATATGAACCCAGACTCTGCATGTTCTCTTACAGTTTACTGCAGTACATTTGACAGTTTGCATACTGGAAAGAGTTTGCCTGGGACTAATTCTCAAGGGAAATGCTAATGGTTGCTGAACTTCCAGATAAATGTGTAACATACCGTAAAGCTTCACTAATTGAATTAATGTAGTACAAAGAGATGCCTGAATTATGAACAGTTTAAGTCAAGCGTACCCACCACAGTTTGCCTCTTTCCCGTGGTTGACACCTGTAAAACATCTACTTCAATCTCTCTTCAGCTTTGTTATGACTTAGCGTCCTTTAAGATAGTCCCTTTTGATAAACTTCGCAAACTTCTGTCTTTTTAAAATAAACACACCATGCACACACATACACACACACAAACACCAAGAGCAAAATACTATTGTGTAGTTTTTATTCCAGTCACTATCAGGTGACATGTTAATAAATTGGCTAGCTACCATTTTGTGGTTGTTGTCAGAGGAATATGACTCCTGGACCAGAGATGAAGTACGTTATTACTCACATCACAGCAGGCCTGTGAGCTGTGAGCCTTTCTTGTTATTGCTGTCTCCCAGCCCCTGTGTCTTGTGAGAACATGCGAAGGGCCATGATGGATGCTTATACAGGCAGTGTGATGTGGTACAGGAAGGGATGACTGTGCTTGGGGAGCTTGCCATTTTAGATCAAACATCAAATTCTTTTTTGTCTCGAACAAAACAATCTACTATACCTTAATGTAGCACAATTAATAAAAACCCAGAGACAGAAATTGGGGTTCAGCCTGAAGGTCAGAAAAGCAAAAGATCCAGCCTGGCTCTTACCTCTACCTCAGTCTGAAATGGCGATCCTGCTTCCAGGAATCTCAGAACGAGACTGAGTGAGAGCCATCTCCTCCCATCTAATATTCCTCTCTAGTGCTGGGATTAAAGGCTTGCACTACCACCCAGCTTCTATGGAGAACTAGTGTGGTTACTGGGATTAAAGGTGTGTGTCACCACTGCCTGGTCTGTAAGGCTGATCAGTGCGGCTGTTTTACTCTCTCAGCGTCAGTCATGCTTTATTTATTAAAATACAAATGAAATATCACTACACCTTAATGTTTTGGCTGCAAACACGCAGCCCTGAGAACTGGCCAGTATAGAGAGTGGACAGAGTCTTATGCAGTTAGCATATACAGTACTATGTGGAGGCATATTAGGGACCCGTGGAGGAGTCTGAATTGATGCAGTTTTAATAAATTTATAGTTACATTTTATTGTAGTAAATACTTTTTTCAAGCCAACATAATTGTCGATAGTTTTGGAATAGGCATTAAATGTTCCCACTTCATTCATAGTTTTCTTCAGTTGCAGAAAACTGAATTACAATCAGAGCTAAGTTCCAGAATAAAGTATAAATGAAGTAGCATGCTCCTAGAACCATGTATGTCAGAAAATAATTAGATACTTTATTTTACAGCGCAGTAAGAGAAATATCATTGGATACTTTGAGCAGAAGGATTCAGATAATTACAGAGTTTTTGAAAGAGTAGCAAGTATTTTGCATGATGACTGTGCCTTCCTTTCTGCTTTTGGGTAAGTATATTGACCAGCAGCCTGCTAGGAGGTGAGCTTGGCTATCACATTCAGTTCTTGTTCTATTTGATTATGTTCTAATGATGACCTCAATCCTTTTAAAGTCACTGACCAGTGATACATATGGCCAATCCTCTAAGGGCCTTAAAAGTTTTTTTTGTTGTGTTGTGTTTTGTCCTATGTTTCAAAATGTAGGTAAAAACATAAGAGTGGCCTAGTTAACAACGAGCTCTTTCGTGTTCTGATTTCAATTCACTGACCCTTAAGCCAGATATACTGCTAACCCATGATTGCTCACCTGACCGAGCATGTTTTCTTTCTAGTTAAGAAGCGGAGGTTTTGTTATCTTCCTTTATCTCCATATCTTTACCACCGTCCTTTATTTCTTGTCTGAAAATAGCACCCCTACCTCCTACACACTTCCCTCTGCAGGGGATCAGAAACCAGGGCCTGCACATGCTAAGCATGTGTGTTCTGTCTGTCGCCCCAGCCCTGCAGTCCACCTTTCTAAGACTGATCTCTTCACTCTTGTAAACTGTCCTTATAGCTTCTCCCTGGGACTCTGGTCCTTCAGTTCTCCCTGCTTTTTCATGGTTTCACTCTGATCCCTTAGAGAAACTGACTTCTTTTTCCAAAATCATGTTCCTCTTTTCTGACTCACTGCTGTCATCTCTTTGCTATAATGCCATCTCTCTTTCATTTCTGCTTCTGTAAAGGTTAGTTTATGCTTTGTTACCTTGACTTTCTCGAGGTCTTCCTAATAAAAACCCTTAGCTTCTTGGAAGCTGGCTTACAGCTCCATCCTTCTAATGAAGCTCGTTCCTGATTTGTTACAGAATGACTCCTTGATTGGCTAACCCAGTGGATTTTCTTCAGTTTAATCGCCTCAAATTCTCTGAAGACTGAGACATTACTCCCCACCCCTTTTTCTTGTCAACACTTGACATTAAATCCCCCTGGTTTGCCCCTCAGAGTTCCTTTTTCTCCTTTTTGTTCTTTTTCCGTCTCTGAAATGTAATTATTAGAAGTTCTGTCCTTGACCCTCTCTCTTCTTGGTTATCTCAGTCACCTTTGGTGTTTGTGCAGTGCGACCTCTTTTATTCGGGGCTCTTAACAGCTGTGCTAGTCTGGCTGCAGTAGCTGCTGCGGTGCCTTCTCCAGTTGATGACCTCTGCTCTGGTCCTTGCTTCCATGCTTTTGTGGGTTTATTGGTGTTTCGTTGTGAACATGATCAGTGTTTCTGAAGAACACTGTACAGCATGGGCAAGGGACACCTCCAGCTGGGGCTTTCACATCACTGCTGTCTGGCCGCGTAGCCCACCTCCAGACACTCTGAACTAGGTTAGCTTCAGCCTCCAAACTTTTGCACTTGCTGCTCTTGTGTCTGGAAGTAGTTTTAGAATTTTAGTTTCCAGAATGACTGCACTAATTTGCATCCCCACCAACAGTGAATGAGGGTTCCTCTTTTTCCAAAACCATGCCAACATTTGTTGTCAGTTGTTTTGTTTATCATAGACGTTTTGAGTGGGATGCGATGCAATCTTCGAGCTGTTTTAATTTGCAGTGCCCTCATTGCTAAGGATGATAAACACTTTTCGAGATATTTCTTAGCTATTTTTATTTCTTCTGTTGAAAACTCTCTCTAGAAACCTAATCCATATTTTAAATTGGGTCATTTGTTTCCTTGACTTTTTGTTCTTTGAGGTTTTTTTATATGCTGGCTAATAATTTTCTTTGAGATGTGTAACTGGCAAAGATGCTCATTCTGTAGGTTTCTTTTTCACTCAATTGTTTCCTTAGGTATACAGAAGTTTTTTCATTTTACAAGGTTTCAGTTATCAACTGTTAGTCTTAAATCCTTGATTAATAGTGTTCTGTCTAGAAAGCCCTTTTCCAGGGTTGGAGAGATGGCTCGGCAGTTAAGAGCATTGGCTGCTCTCCCAGAGGTCCTGAGATCAATTCTCAGCAAAATAGTGGCTCACAGTCATCCCTAGTGGGATCTGATGCCCACTTCTGGCATAAAGTTGTACATTCAGATAGAGCATTCCTACATAAAATGAAGAAATCAGTCTTAGAAAGTCCTTTCCTTTACCCATATCTCGTGGAGCACAGCCTATATTTTCTTCTAGCAGTTTCAGTGTTTCAGGTTTTAAATACATTTGGATCTAATGTCTGCAGGGTTATAGGTATGGGTCTAATTCTTCTGAATGTGGACACTGAGTTTTCACAGAACCATTTGTTGAAGATGTTATCTCTTTGTCAAATATCAGATGGTTGTAGATATTTGGGTCTTCTGTTTTGTTCCATTGACTTCATGTCTCTTTCATGCTAATACCATACTGTTCTTTTAGTCTTCTTATGGCTCTAGAATACATCTTCAGATCTGGAGTAGCAAACCCTCCCAGATTTTGTTCGTTTATTTCTTTGTTTTGCTCAGGATAATTTTGGCTATCCAGAATATTTTCTGATTCCATGTGCATTTAAGATTTTTTTTTCTATTTCTGTGAAGAATGTTGTGGATATTTTGACTGGGGCTGCATTGCATTGAATCTGTACATTCCTTTTGGTAGGATGGCCATTTTCATGATACTAATTCTACCAATCCACAAACAAGATGTATTTTCTCAATCTCTTTCTTCGGGGACTGGAAGTTTTCATTGTACAGATATTTTACCTCCTTGCTTGGGTTTATTCTAAGATATTTTATCTTCAATGCTGCTGTAAATTGAAAGTGTGCCCATGAGCTCTAACGAGAGCTCGGTGTTTGTTGATAGTGTGTAGAAAAGCTACTGATTACAAAAAGAAAAGCTACTGATTTTTGAACCTGCCACTTTTTAAAAAATTATTGATTGTTTCTAGAAGATTTTTGGTGGAAGCTTTGGGATCTCTTATGGACAATATTATACCATCCTCCTCTTTTTTTTAAAGATTTATTTATCATGTAGACAGTGTTCTATATGCCTGAAGGCCAGAAGAGGGCACCAGATCTCATCTTGGATGGTTGTGAGCCACCATGTGATTGCTGGGATTGAACTCAGGGCCTTTGGAAGAGCAGCCAGTGCTCTTAACCTCTGAGCCATCTCTCCAGCCCCCTACCATGCTCCTTTTTTTTTTTTTTTTTTTTTTGGTAACTTTCCCTTTAACTTTTATTTTTTTCTTCCCCAGTTTTTCAAGGCAGGGTTTCTCTATGTGACTTTTTGGAGCCTGATCTGGAACTCATTCTGTAGATAGACCAGGCTGGCCCTGAACTAACAGAGATTCCCCTACCTCTGCCTTTCTTGTGCTGGGATTAAAGACGTGTGCCACCACCACCCGGCTTAATTTACTTTTTCGTGTCCAATTGCTCCAGCTACTCTTTACAGCACTGTGATGCAAAGGAATAGGTGGGATAGTGGGCAGCTCTGTCTTACTCCTAATTTTGGAGTAAAACCGAGTTTTTCTTCATTTAGGCTGATATTGGCTGTAGGTTTGTCAAATATAGCTTTTATTATGTCAAGGTATGTTCCCTATAGTCCTGTTCTTTCTAGGACCTTTATCAAGGAAACATGTATTCTGTCAAAGATTTTTTTCCTGTATCTATTAAGGTGCTCATGTGATTTTGTCTTTAAGTCCATTTATATGATTTATTATGCTTATTATTACAGATATTGAACCAACTCTGCATTTCCAGAATAAAGACATTTTAATTATGGTGGATAAGCTTCTTGATATGTATTTGTATTCAATTATTCAATTATTCCTCAATAAATACTTGTTAGTATTTATTGAGGATTTTATATCTCTGTTCATCAGGGATAACAGTCTAATTTTGTTTTGTTTCCTGTATCTTTACCTAGTTTGGGTATTAGATTAATAGTGGTTCTAAAAACAGATTTTGTAGTTCTTCTGTTTCTATTTTCTTTGCAGAATTTAGGGACGGGTTGGATGTAGTTCTCCTTTAAAAGCCTGATAGATGTTTGTTGCAAATCCATCGGGACCTGGACTTTATAGCTGGAAAGTTTTTTTTATATATATATTACAGTTTCAATTAACTCGTTTGTTGTAGATCTGTTTAGGTTCTTGACCTCTTCTTGATTTAGCTTTAGTATTTTGGGTGAATAAAGAAATTCATCTATTTCTTTCATATTTTCCAACTTAATGAAGTTTTTTTTAAAGCATTCCCTTATAGTATTTGTATTTCTTTGATATGTATTATAATGCTCCCTCTTCCTTTTCTCCTTCTTTCTCAGTATTGCCCTCTCTCCCCTTCTCCCAGTAAAATGCCACATTTTCCTCTTCAAAACTCCTGGGTCTCAGCCCCCACCAGAGCTCCCTCATTACATTTGTACTGTCGTCCGTCTAGGTTAGCATCTTTCCTTCTTTTTCTGGACTGTGTAGTCAGAAACTGAAGATGTACTGATGTCTGTTTAATCCACAAATTATGTAGGGGAAGAAAAAGGTACTTTTCTTTTTTCTCAGAGGCTTTTCTGTAGAATTCTCTTACCAAATATTTATTGTCTTGGGTAAAAATTGTCATACAAGACCTAGTATTTGTATGCCAAATACTCTAGTAGGCCCAGGAAATGACAACGTCCAAGTACACAAACATGATGCTTTCTAAAACTGTGTTTTTATGATATTGGTTAGTTGATTCATTATTTTTTTTAGAATTGTCAAATATAAAAAGTAAGAATTAGAAAATTAATGTATTTTTATTAATCTCTGAACAAATTAATGTCTTTATCTATGGGTGGAAATCAGTTTAGAATTAATATGGCTATCATCCTGATCTTGTCAATCCAGACTTGTAAAATCCTAATACCAAAGGAGCTGACTGTAATGTTGTTTTAGGAGTCTGACTCAAAGCGGGTGATGGTGGTGTTTGCCTTTAATCCCAGCACTCTGGAGGCAGAGGCAGGCATATCTCTGTGAGTTTAAGGCCAGTTTGGTTTACAAGAGCTAGTTCCAGGACAGGCTCTAAAACTATAGCAAAACCCAGTCTCGAAAAACAAAACAAAAACAAAAGTCTGCCAAATATTAGTTTGCCTTTAATGTATGTTTGTCTTGGTGTTACATAGTCTAGTGAGTGGGGCAGGTAATGAACAAGTCTTTATCATATGGTTTTATAACTCATACATTGTAATGATTAGTGAATTCTGTTTTATTAAAGTATACTGTTTCAAACATTATTTTTTTTCCTCCTATCAGAGATGTTTCAAAACCAGAAAGGTACAGTGGAGACAATTTAATCTACAAACCACCAGGGGTAAGTTGCTCTTTCATGTGTGCTCAAGACACCACAGGTAATACGTGTATAGCATAAACAATAGCTTTGTTTTAAGTGCTAGTAGAATCATAGATTGATTTTTTTTTCACGTTTTAAGTTCTAGGCATTGAGCCCAAGGCACGTGTATTATGTGCTACAGCCTGGCCCTTTTTATTTTTGAGACAGGTTCTCACTAAGGTGCCTGGGCTTGACTTGAACTTGAGACCCTCAACTTCCAGATAGTAGGAATTAAAAGCACAGTGCCATGTCTAAGTGATGTGACTTTGAAGTGTTATGGTCTAGTAACCCTTGTTTCAGAGTGAAAGTTGGCCCACAGAGGCCTGGAGTCACAGACCTGCAGTGACATTGGAATCCCCTGGCTCCAGTTCTTTTCTCCCTCTCTCTCTCTGTTGATTTCTTTCTGGGAGCCAAATATTAAAGATGCTGAGCAACCCATGTTTGTCACTCATTTGCACTGCACCTGCCAAACTTCAGACCTGCTGGAAAATAGATTAGCTTTTTAGTAATAAAGCATTTAGGTTGTTTTAAACTTTGCCGAGTTGTTTTCCTTTTCTTCCTTTGCCGAGTTGTTTTCCTTTTCTTCTTTTTTTAAAAAACAAAAAGTGTGTGTGTGTGTGTGTGTGTGTGTGTGTGTGTGTGTGTGTGTGTG